ATAATGTTTATGAAATAAACATAAAGGACCCCCTCCTTGTTTTTTTAAATAAAACTAAAAATAAAAATAATAATAACAATAAGTAATAATCATATTAATAATAATAAAAATAATTCAATTCATAAATAATTTATAATGTTTAAGTATTTATAATGTTACGTTATGTTTTGCCTAAAAATTATTTTCTTTTAAAAATTGTTATTTGAAGCAACGTTACCTACTAAAATTTCATTAGAAAAAAAATAATAATTTGCATATATAGAAAAATACTTCTTTTTCTAACGATAAGAAGTACGCAACGTTTATGATAAACAATTTTTAAAAAAATAATTTTTTCATATGAAAAAATTTTATAAATTTTTTCCTGAAATAAAATTTTTTATTTATTAATCAACAAATTATAAAAAAATATTTTTTTTTAATTAAACTATTTTATAACTAGTAAAATTAAACGCGCTCAAGCGCGCCAAATTGACTATTTAATTGTTTGTTATAAAGAAATTCAAGATTAATATTATCAATAATAATTTAATTTCTTAGAATATTATTACATATTAAATGATAATAATGAAAATTATATGTTTACAGGCCTCGGATTATACGACTTTTTCCGACTTTTTTCAAAAATACGACTTTTATCGACTTATTTTAATAAAATGCGACATTTTTTTTTAAATTGGAAAAAAAATGTAAATAAAATACATTTTTGTAGTATAAAATGTAGAACTTCTTCAGATCTTCTTCAATTCAATTATTTAACAAATTTTGAACTAAAATGATTCTTCACTAAATTAATTATTTTTAATAATTTTAATGAAATACATCACAAATTCAATTATATCAAAATTATTTTTCAATTAAAATTTTTATGAAATTTAACAATTGTTTATAATTTAAAAAAAAAATATCACAATAAAATTGAATTATTTTTTAAAAATTTCAATTCAAAATAAACTAAAATTCAATTATTACCCGAAATTTTAATTCAAAATCAATTAAAAATCCAATAATTATCCAAAATTTTTAATTTAAAATTTAATTATTTACCAAGTTTTCAGTTTGAAATAAAATAAAATTCAATTATTTTCTAAAATTTCTATTCAAAATTAATTATCCAAATTTTCAATCAAAAATGAACTTGAATTAAATTATTATCCAAAATTTCAATTAAAATTCAATTATTTCCCAAAATTTTCAATTCAAAATGAACTGAAATTCAATTATTTTCAAAATTTAAAATCAAATAAAATTTAATTATTCTCAAAAATTTGAATTCAAAATTAATTGAATTTTCAATAATTTGAATCTAAAAGCATCTAAAATTTAATTATTTCTAAAATTTTCCATCGAAAATTTTTTTTTTTTGAAATTTAATAATTTCAATTATAACTCTAAGGAAATTCAATTATTTTTAACTATTTTAATAATATTCTTTGAAAATTCAACTATCTGAAACCATTTTTCAATTAAAAATGATTTTCAAATTATTGTATTTTGTCCGCATTTTCTAATAAATTTTTAGTGAAATCATCTAAAATTTTAATTACAAAACACTTAAAGTTTCAATTAATTTCAAAAATCTCAATTTTAAATCTTTTAAAGTTCAATTAAATTTAAAAAATGTTTTCCAAAAAATTGTTTGATAAATTATTTTTAGTTCTGTAAAATTTAATAATTGTTTGAAAATTAACAATATCTTTTGAAATTTAATTATTTCTAAAAATTTCAACTTTAACCCTTCGAAAAGGATTATTATTAAAACAAAAAATTTTTTATTTAAAAATTTGTAAAATATTTTTGTTGAAATAAAAAACAAATCCACTTTTTTTGGAATATAAATCGACTAAAACGACTTTTTGTGTCTTTAAGTTGATTCGAGGCCTGTGTTTTTATAATTAATATTTAATAGGTATTCGTTGGCCCCTGGTACCTTAAAAATTAATTTTTAAAAATAAATTTTTTTCAAATTACTATCTTGTACGAAATTTCCTGGCGCATCTTTTTTCTCATCATAAATTTTTTGTATTTGTATACAATTTTTGAATCAATATACAAGTTTAAAAAAAATTTCGTTGGTAAACGTTGTGTACTTCAGCTTCGTGAATTGAATTTTCGAATTTGGAATTTTTAAAGAAACTTATTCCGAAATTTGGAAACACAATTATACAAGTTTGGCAAAAATGAGAAAAAGAATTGTCAAAATTTGACACGTCATAAGATTACTATTCAAAAAAACACGTGAAATCAGAAAAGACCAACTTCAAATTAGGACAGAAAGACAGACCAAGCATTTTATTATTATATAATTTTCCGTGTTAAATAAAAATTAATTTCTAATTGTTGATCATAAACGTTGCGTAATTTGGACAAAAATTGAGTAAATTTTTTTAAAAATATTATGTTAGTGTTTTTTTTTCATTTATTTTGAAAAAATATCAAGGCAAATATCTCATTAAAAATTGTATAATGTTAAATAAAGTAAAATAAAAAAAACCCAAATAAATTAAAAAAAGTAACATATTATCCTGAGGTAAAAATATAAGTATTGTTAAAAAAATCCTCTATAAAAATTAAAATTAACATAAGTTGAGTAATAATAAAGTCGATTTATATATAAATTTAAAGATGTGTTAAAGAGATCAATATTTTAAAAATAGTACTATAAATATTTTTTATTGTTCAATATTTTTTAATTTACGTTGAAAATTAATTTTTTTAAAAAATTATAAATTCAAAATAAAAAGAGGTATAATATGCAATTTATCGATTTTTAAAAAAAGCTAAAAATACCCATAACCTAAAAATGAAAAAAAAATTAAATTTAAATACCTAAAAATTTGCGAAAATTTTGTATATATTAATTAAGCAAAGAAAGTATAATATGTATATAAGTAACTGAAAGTAAAGGACGTGTCCTTAATATCGTCTGATGTGATCAGAGATTGAATGCAAGCTAATCGAATTGTTATGCAGGTCACTACTTTGTATAATCTTCCGCTCTTCGATGCATTCTTTTACTTTTTATTATACTCGGTCTGGCATATTTTCTAACACAGTTGAAAGTTTTTAATAGCTTATAATTATCTAATGATGCTGAGCTATATATACATATACATAAACTTTGAGTCCTTATTTTAAATAAACATAATAGTAAAATGGAATTATATATATATATAATATTACAAATTTCTATGTACATAAAAAAATTGTATTTCAACTACTTTTTTAGTCAAAATTTTTTTAAATAATTAATAGTTGTATCCTTGAAAAAAAATTATTAATTTTTAAATATCATTGAGTCATAAAGTAAACTAAAGCTATAAGAGAATTGTGTTTTATTAAATGATTCATTAAATTTGAAATGGAAACTTGTTTGCTTATTTTATTATTATATGCTTACAATATTCAATATTTAAGAAATCAAATTCCAAATTTTTAATTCATTTAGAAAAATTTAAAAAAAAAAATTTTATATTTAAATAAAATACGTTATCACTTTTTTTTAGGTAGATTAATTTTGAAAGTGTCAAAAATTAATTAAATGAATATTGAGAAGGGGATAAAAGTTTTGTTATTAAATGAACCATTTCCGCTGACCTAACAAATTTCTTCTTAGACATTTGGTCATCAATGAAACGTGAAAGAAGACAGTAGATTAAATATTAAAAATATTTTTATTTTAATTTTTTTAAACTAATAAATTATAATAAAATATTGATTTTCATTTTTATTTCAATTTTTATATTTATAATTAAATAATTTATTTAATTAGTAATTAAAATAGATGTATTAAATAAATTATTTAATAAATTATTGTTTATTTATTAAAATAGATTGTATATTAACTAAAAAAAATTACAGAATTTGTAGACAAAAAAATGTTTTGAAAATTTTCTGAGAATATTTCAAAAAGTAAATACAAATGTTCATTCTATATTATATATATATATAGAGCAAATATTGTTATTGTAGATGAAAATAGTTCTACTTTTATAATTATCTTAAGGGAAATAGATTCATAAAATCTTTTTCTAGAAACTATATTTACGTAAGTGAATTTCGCTTAGCGAAAATTTGCATCTACTTTACTTTATTGTAGCTCGTTAAGAATATAAACTAAAAATAAATTAAGAAAATGTAAAAATTAAAAAAAAAGTAAATCATCTAATTTCCATGGAATTTTTATCTAAATATTTGAATTGCAACTTTCTTGTTGTTATTATTTTACATAGAAAATATTTTTAGAAAGTAAATTCTTTTTTCATTTTTTAAAATAGTAAGGATTTAAAATATAAATATTATAAGCTCTTTAAAGTTCGTTAGGATATATAATTTGCTAATTACATGAAGAGTTTAAATGAAATTCAAAATTTTGCAACCATAAAATAAAATTTAATTTTTTTTTCAACTTTCTTCAATTTTAAGTTTCAAATCATATTATATTATATTTTGTGGATATGTAAAATATGAATTTATTAAAAATGACAAATTTTGAATGATTCATGTTAAATAAGAAACAATAAAGATAAAACTTTATCTTAAAAGTCGACAACGTAACATTTTCGTATTTTAAACGATTGCATCATAAAAAGCAAATTTTTTTTTGCCATTTTTTTATTTTTAATCAATAAAAAATAATTTCATCAAAAGAAGAAAAATATTATTATTACTATTAAAACTGCTAAATGTTAGAAATATTATACGTAATACGATCTCTCCTTTAACAAGCAGAAATCTCTGTAGGTATTTGAGAGAAAGAGAGAGAAAGATAGTCTAACCTAGAAGATATAATAGATTTTTTCAATTTTGAGATGAAATCTATGTATTAGTCATTTTCAAAAGTTCAACGAACTTTCTACATTTCAATTATGAATCAAAAAAATTAACTTTCATTACATTAGTAAATTAAATAAAAAATAAAAATAATTGAACACCTATGAAAAAAATCCCTATTATATTTGTTATGTTTTTAACCAGTCAATAAAATATAATATACTTACGGTTCAGTGATAACAGGAGCAATTTTTAAAACTGTTGTGAGAAATGTTTGATCCTTACATATTAATGCTGGTTTTTGTGCTGCACTATTAACATTTAAAATTCTGAATAAAATACAAAGAATCACGGCAAAAACAGCAAGAAGAGCTGTTGACATTTTGTTAAACTCGTTTCACTTTTTAGTATAGACACAAAGGGATGTGTATTTTGGATATTTAGCTTTAAACATGAAGGATATATATATATATTTGCGAACAATGATCACTAATTTAACACTTTGGATTTAAATGTTTTTTTATTTTAATTTCAATTATAAAACTTTGACAAACTTAAAAAAATCAACGCCGGTTAACCGCTGGGCGGGGTGTAAGTTTTTTAATTTATGAGTTTTGAAAATTACACAAATTTCAGAGAAATCAGTAGAGAATCTGCAGTAATCAGATCCATGAGGTAATTTGTTTCTTTTCCCTTCACGGCCATGTAAAGAAGAAAAAGCACCTTTACATTCAATTGTTTTCTTATTCAGTCTTTCAATAACACTTTCGTTATAAATATTCATTAGAATGAATTAATTCATCTATATACAGGAAAAATTAAAGTATAGTTTAATATCCGACACGAACTCCCCGAGTTCTGAGAACAGAATGAAAACCGAGACAGAATGGCGCGAATGTATAAAGATAAATCTAACCTCACTTTTTAGGAAAAAAAAAAAGAGTTCTATTTAGAATATTTTCTCGACTAGACTTTTACTTTAAAATAAAAACAATAGAATAATTATTTGTACGTAAATTTTTACAATTTTAATACTTATTAAGCAAAACATCGTAATTTATATATTGGAAAGTATTTAGTGTTTTTTGCATTTATAAATTACAAATTTTATTTTTAAACATTACCGCGTTTGAAACTAGAACTCGCATTTAAATTCAAATTTTGATTAAAAATTGTTAATAAATTACATGAAAATAAAAATTTTTGAGAATTCTTTGTTTAAAATTTATTGCCGACATTTTTTTATAAATAAAAAAAATTAATTTTATATTTACATTTTATTTAAATAATTATTAAATTAAAAATTAAGACGATACTGTTAAATTCACGGGGGAAAAATTAAAATTCCATTATACGTGTTTAAGTAAAAAAGAAGTTTTTTGAAAATTTGTTTGTAATTAAAATTTTACAAGTAATAAAAGATTATTATTATTTTTAAAAGAATATATGTATATTTATTATGTATAACATTTTTAACATATACTATATATACATATAAATAAACTTTTATCTAGTTTTTTTTTTTTAAAGATATTAATTTCCATATGTAGATAAAAATTAAAAACAAAAACATTTTGATTTATTCTAAATACATGTAAATTATATGATAGGATATAAAGTTAAATGACTTTAAATAAATTAGTGTTTATCGATTAAATTTCGGTTGCATAGCAGCTTTGTCGATTCTAGAAACTAACGTTTCTTTTTTTTTCGTACAACGTTGAATTACATCAGATACAAATTAACGAGGTATAAAATACACATATTGACGTTGAAAAATACAAGAATACTTTTTTTTTAAACTAATAAATTAAAAATACATTTTATAGGTTTCCTTTTATCTTTTTTTTAAAAAAAAAAATGCCGGCTCCAGGAAAGATGAAAAAAAAGAATAATGGAAAAACAAATGGCAAAAACGGTAAAACAGCAAATGGAGGAAAGAATAAACCCTCAAAGAAAACATCTCGAGGAGGTAAACGAAGTGGAGGAAAAGCTAGATTTACAATGGACATTTTTAATGAGGAAGTGATGGAAAATGCATATTACACGTGTCACAATATTATGGATGTTTTACGATGTCGTGGATTTCCATGGCCAGATGCGCAAAAGAAAAAGAAAAAAGGAAAGAAACGATAAAATTCTGAAACCTACAATGGTAATAATATAAACGAAAATACAAATATTTAAATTAAAAAACACATTATTATTATTATATCAGAAATTTGGCAGTTAGTCTAGTAGAATAAAAGTTCTTTTTAAAATTTTGAAATTGTTTTTAAAAAAATATATCTATATTCTGACAAGTACGATAAATATCTTCTTAGTAACATATCTTAAAGTGTTTTTATTATATATTTGTCAATTAACTCTCATAGTTAATTTTTTTTTTTTAAATACTGTTCAATTTTTTGTTTATAGAACCTCAAGCTATTATCACATATATACCTTTAAAGGAAAATTTGTTAGAACATTTAAACAAAAATATATTTATATATTCTAACTTCTTATCTTAAATTTTTAAAAATATTAAATCTTCGATTATGTTAAGTAAAATTTGCATTATTTTGTTAATTTCTTTGACGAGAACGACAAAATTCAGTTACACTGAATTCTTCATGGGAGACCATAAATTGTCCATTATAAACGCAATGAACGGTCACAGTATCCGAATACTTGAGATTAGGCAGTAACTAAAAATAGAATTATTTTTTTTTATTATTTGTTTTCAATAATATTGATAAGTTTTTTTGTTTCAATTCATCAAAATCTTACCTTTGGCGTAAGTAAAAAATACTGAGAACTATTACTTTTTCCAGTAATATTGACAATTAATTCAAAAATTCGCCTTTCGTTAATAGCATCCATACCCTAAAAAATAAGAAAATATTAACTCTTTATTAATAAATATAACTTGGTTGAAAAATATAATTATTTTGTTTGTAAAATTTTTTTTGATTTTTTGCATATAGCAATTAGAGAAAATAAATTACAAATAAAAATAACAAAAAGTAGATAAGTATTTTAATTTAAACCTTTTTTTTGTGAAATAATAATTATTTTTTTTTTAAAGTGAAAAAAAAATTTACTACTTAAAAAAAAGTAAAAAAATTTTTCTTATTTTAACAAGTCGAAAAAATTTTTGAATTTAGAAAAAAAATTTATTGTCTTTTTAATTCACAATTATTGCCTGCGAATTTTATATAATTTCATAAAAATAACAAAATTAATTAGCTTTTCAATACAAATTAAAAAAAAACTGCATTAAGATATATTTACCACAGTAAAACTATAAACTAATAATAATTTAATAATTAAAAATTAATTAATTACCTGATTTATTTCATCGACACAACGAAAAGGAACTGTTGATAACTCCTGCAATGAAATCATATAAACTGCTGTAGTTACGGCTCTTTCACCACCACTCTGATGAGTTCTAGTCAATTCTTGCAATTGATCAACATCTCGAAATTTCACTCTAATCTTTAATCCATATTTATCAAAGTCCATCTGAAATTTTAAATCAATTTGCAAAAATATTTCATTTCAAATAAATATTTTCATACAATATTTTCAAACAAACGAAAATAAAAACTTACAATATTTTCTTCATGAGTAAGAGAAATTTCTCCAGCACATTTCATCTCAGAAAAATATCTACTAAAATTATCATTTATCCTATCAACAAGTTGCTCCAAAATTGGAAGCCATTGATTTCGAAGATTTTCAGTTTCTGTCGTTAATGTTTGCAATTCTTTTGTTTTATTTTCCACATATTTTTTTAATTCCTCCACTTCTTTTGTTATTCTTTCAAATTCTTTTAAAATCTGTAAAAACAAAAAATTGAATATTAAGAAATTATTCATAACAATTATTATTACTATATTATTTTATTATTATTATTTATAACAAAAATTGTTTTACTAATGTTTAGTTATTGTTTTGTAACATAAAACATACATTTTCACTGTCATCATTTTTTCCCATACAAAATACTTTTGCTTGAGCGGTTCTTAATTCTTCATCAATTTCTTCAATTGAATTTGGTAATTTTTCAAAAACAGTGTTAAATTTTTGAAAACGTTTATCTTGTGGATTAATTTTATTTGTACTCTCTAATGCTTGTTTGTAAAGATTTTCAACTTCATTTTTCAATGGTCTCAATTCTTCTTCAAGATTTTTAAATATTCTTTCAGCATTGTCACATTTATCGCGTAATTCTTGTGAATCATTTTGATATTGTCTCAATTTTTGTTGCTCTATTTTCAATTCAAGTTTACTTTGACCATTTACTTTTTCAAATACAAAACAATCTTCCAATATGGTATTCAATTTTTCATAAAGAGAAATTTGAGTTTTAATCATATCTTGAATTTCAGATTTGTACATTGCTTGAATTTCCTCAATACTTATTCTATTCTCCTGTAATTTTCTTATATTTTCCCCAGCCATTCGAATTTTTGATCTTAACGTTTCAATTTGTCCAATTTTTTGTTGATAATTCGTTCTAATATTACGATATTCAATCAATTGTCCATTCGCATGACTAATTTGAGTTTCAAATTCACGAATCTCTTCCGCAACTTCCTCTTTGTCTTGTTTCAATTGATTTATTCTTGAAAGAAAAAAGTAAATTTATATTTAAAAAAAAAAAAATTAATTATTTTCTTTGTATTAAAGTTTTTTCACAAACCTATTATGAATTCCATTAAGTTTTGCAGTATCCATAGTTATTGAAAGCATTCCATTTCCCGATACTGTATTTTGACGTACTGACTTTTCACCGCTATACTTTGATCTATTCACGGAAAAATTATTGGATTCTAAAAAGAAAAATGAAAAAGATTAAATGCTAAATAATAAATGTTAAATATTATTGTTTCGATAATAAAATAAGACTAACTGCTAAAAAAGTAGCTCAAAGAATCCGGAATGCGATCAACATTTTCTTCAACAATATCCGATCCAACGGGAATATTAGCGAGGTGAAAGTTTTGAACGATATATTTCATAATTGTCTGCGGTGCTTCGACAAGTGAAATTAAATAATGTTCAAAACCAAAATGACCAATTTCTTCAATTGGAATATTTGGATTCATTCGAACATTTCTATTAGGATCTGAATGAACAACATTGACAACTAATTTTTGTTGACCTCTCAATGAATTCACTAATAAATTCATATCCTCAGAATTTTCACAAACAAATGCAATCATATCATTGTAGCTTATTGTACTTTCTAAATATTTCGAATATTTTGGATCTTTAACATTAATATTAAGAAACATTGGCTCATGTACAGGAGCAGAAAATATGTGTTTATTTTCCCTTAACCAAAGAACACCTTTATATGCATCTGGATTTCTTTGTCGAAGCAATTCAAGTCGTTGAGCATCAACTGCTCGTGCCATTTGTAATTCTCTGTCAAGATCTAAAATGAATTACATATTGTAAAAAAAGTAATTGAATTTTAATTTCAAAATTTTTTTTTTAAATTTATTTATTTTACTAACTTCGAAGGTCACGATTAAACTGATCGTCTTTGTATTTTAAAGTAGTCATATTCTTGCTCAAACTATCGATAATTTTTCTCTGTTTATCAACTAGATGTAAAGCCTGAACTTGTTGCTCCGCTAAAGCCTCCTCTGAAAGAATTATTATTCATATTAAAAAATAATTTTTTTTTTTTTTAAATACACTGAGAAAAATCATCTATTCAGGCCTCGGTTCGACTTTAAAGCGCAAAAAAAGTCCCAAAGTTGATTTTTTATTTTCATTAAATTTAATTAGTTAATAAATAACTAATGTTATTAAATATTAAATACATTTTATTAATTCCTTAATAAAAATAATTCTACAGGAATATTATCAAGAAAATTTATTTTGAGTATTTCAGAATAGAAGACGTACATTTTTTATATTTTAATTTTGTTAGACAAATTTCTAAAAAAAAAAAAAAAATTCTGACAATTCAATTTTAGAATTTTTATTTGAAACTTTTTTAAATAATTAAATTTTTAAAGAACTATTAAAATTATTAAAAATAATTAAACTTTGGAAGAGTTATAGTTGAAATTTTTATAAATAATTAAATTTCAAAAGATTTTGTTAAATTTCAGACAATAATAAAATTAAATTGTACATAATTGAAAATAATTTATCAAATAATTTTAGATAACATTTTTTAAAAGTAATGGAATTTTCAATGATTTACAATTCAGATTTTTGAAATTAATTGAATTTCAAGTGATTTTAAATTAAAAGTTTTTGGTGATTTCTGTTGATGAAAAATTTATTAGAAATTACATCAAAAATTGAATTTCAAAAGTTTTTAATTGAAAAATGCGTTCAGATAATTGAATTTTCGAAGACCATTATATAAATCATTAAAAATAATTAAATTTCGGAAGAGTTATAATTGAAATTATTAAATTTCAAAAAGTTTTAGATTTTATTTGATTTTTTTTTTAAATTGTAAACAATTGTTGAATTTCATAAAATTTTTAATTGAAAAATAATGTAAGATAATTGAATTTGTGAAGAATTTCATTAAAATTATTAAAAATAATTAATTTAGAGAAAAGTTTTAGTTGAAAAAATTTGTTAAATAATTGAAATAAAGAAGATCTGCAATGTATACTAAAAAAGACGAATTTTGTTAAAAAATTTTGTAAAAAAAATTGTAAAAAAGTCGAAAACGTAGCATTTTCGAAAAAAAGTTAGAAAAAGTCGTATATATAATCTGATATAATCCGAGGCCTTGTCTATTAAACATAAAACTAATTTCCTTTTAAATCAAGTCCTTTAATGTTAAGAGATTAAAAGAATTAGTTTTATCGCAAAAGAAATTTTTTAAATTTAAAAATATTACTAGTTTATTGATAAAACAAAAAAAAAGTTTAAAGAATAAGAGATTTCTTTTTTCAAATTAAATCCTTAGATTCCAAAATGATTGACATTTTATTTGATTTTTAGAGAATTTTGAGTTTTATAAAAAATTAATTAACTAATTATTAATAATAACAATTAATAATTTTAATTATTTTATTTAATTTTATTTAAAATTAATAAATAGTGATAAATTTAGAAAAGAGGTCTGGAAATGTCTGAAAGAATGGCTAAAAGAATGGATAAAAGATATTTGTAAATATAAATAATTAGATTTAAGTTTAATTTATATTTACCTGAACCAAATTCTTGAAGTATAGAACGTAAATCATTGTCGAGTTTACTTTTCTGTTGTTGAAGACCACTAATCGTTTGATCGCAAGCTTGTTCTTGTTCAATTTTTCGATCACGAGTATCTTCGATATCTTTTATATTATCTTCGCAAGATTGAATTTCTTCATTAGCTCTATTTACTTTTGCCATTCTTGCAGAGAATTGACTAGTCTATGAACAATAAAAAATTTATTAGAAAAATAATCATATCTATTAAAATTTTTTGAAATAAAATTCAAGATTCTTTCATGGTTTAGAAGAAAAATTTTTTTTTCAAAATTTTCTAAATGAATTTTAATAAAAATATAATAAATTAAAAATTGAGAAAATGTCTTTTCCTACTATATTTCGATGTTCTCATTAAAGTAGAGACCACGCTACCTTTTTTTAAAAATAGGTAAAAAGGTAAATTATTTATTGAAAATAGGTGGCAAAAAGATGATATAACTCCACTTGTATAGATTTACTTTCTGATAAATAGTGTATTCGTTTTTTTTCAATAATAAACGATAATAATAATAATAGTTTAAAATTGAATTTAAAATTATAATTATAATTATATTAAAATTGAAATTTCGTTAATTTTAAGTTTCAATTAATTGAATTTGGATGTAATAGAAATTTGAATTAATTAATTTGTTTTTACCAACAAAAAGAATTTTTTTTTTTTAAATTTATATTGAATTGAAATCATTAAAAAATATCAATTTGATTTTATAAAGCTTACTAAAATAAGATATTAAAATGAAAATACCTTGTCTCTCACTGAATTTTGTATCACATTAATGCGGGCTTTGATTTTGTCTATTTTTCCATTCATCGGCTTTAATTGTTCATCTAGTTCCTTCATTTGCACTGCAGCAGCGTCTCTTTGTTTCTTTGACTGAAATGTATTTTTATAATTTATTATCATTATTATTTTATAACTTAATTATTCATGTTATAAAATTTGTAAAATATGTGAATTTTCATTTTAAAAAAACCAATTAACATCTAACAATTTTAACAATAAAAAAAAAATTAACATCCACAATATATTTTAGAATGAAACTAAAATTAGATAATTACGTCTTGAAATTGTTGTCTCAATTGATCATACAACATCCACATTTTCTTTTGGTTTAAACTTGTAATTTTATTTTTTATAGTTTTCTTTTCCTTAATACTTCCAACAATATCTTTAAGACCGTCATATCTTTGTATTTTATTTTCCAATGACCGACTTTTATTAGCGACTTCAACTTCTATTTCTTTGAGTTGTTTTCGATACTCTATCAATTGTTCATGACGTTCCAGCAAAAGTGGATCTCCAACAGAACGTTCTGTTTCCAATAATAATGTTTTAGAATCCATTTCTGAAAAACTTTGCACCTTATCCTGTGGAAGGAACTGACAAAGATTGTCAACCTAAAAAGAAAAACGAGAAAAAAAAAAATTGCATTTCTTTTTTTCATTGTACCAATCAGTGTCAGGACTGCAATAATTTAAATCAATCAGTTTTTAATATTACATTTTTTTTTTTAAATTTATATTTAATATATTTTTACATTCAATTTTGTATAAAGTTTAAAAATTAATTTTATCCATATTTATTCTGTTAAAATAAAAAAATTATTAATGTATGCCTTCATAAGTATATAATTAAAAAATATATATGAGTGATTCTCTGCGTAGCGCACAACTTGCTTTTTTTCATGTTGTGAAAGAAAAATCACAAATAATATTCACATAATATTTCGATTCCAATGTAAAAAGGTAATTTCTGTGACTACAAAAAAAAACTAAAAGTTATTTTTGTATTTAACATTATAATTTTTCGTGAAAAGTGGTTTTTAAGGCTGAAAACGTCAAAATTTCACCTGTCCCCACAGGATGTTTAAACAAAAAAGTTAATATTTTTAGCAATGTGCACTAATAAATACAATTTCTATTGCTATTTTAGTATTGTATATTGTAGTGGAATTGAATAAAAAAAACGTTTGATCAAAAAAATAATTATTTTCTTTTTTTTTTGCTATTTATACTTGACTGCACTTTTGTGTGTTATTCTGCGTTTTATTATTAAACATTGAATTATTTAAATAAAAGACAAATGTTAATATAGTTCTACTTCAGTAACAGTAAAAGTTATATTCCTTAAATTGATCCATGAAGGAAGTAATCAATTTTCTAATTGATTTATCCTTTTTTTACACATTTCAAGATTCAAATTTGTACAGGGCATCACAAAATCGTCTCCACCGGCATCCACCGACCCTTCAATATTATTTAAAAAAATAGAATATAATTAAATAATAAAGGTTAAATAAAGTGTAGTTATATTATTTTAGTCTATATATATGTGAAACATATGAAACCAATTAAAAATAAATGATAATTTTCTCAAAAAAAAAAAAAAAAAAAAATTATTAACATCAGTTCCACCGGTTCGACCGACCCCAGCGTCTCCACCCGCCACAGAATTTCGACCGTCACTAGTGCAAGTTTAATACACAATGAAACAAACGAAATTCAAAATATTTATTATAAACAATCATAGCTCCGGTAAGTTTACTATAACTTACCAAATAAATTTCTATAAATTACCGTATAAATTTCCATAAATTACCAAAATAAAATTTTTATTTGTCGTTTGCGCTATATATGTATATTTTTGTAAATTACCACGAAATTTTTCATAAATTACCGACATTAAAATCTTTAATTGCGATTTATGCTTTACATATTTTTATGAATTATAGCCAAAATTTCTATAAATTACCATATAAATTTCCATAAATTACCGCATAAATTTCCATAAATTACTGAAATAAAATTATTAATTGTCGTTCGCGCTATATATGTTTTTGTAAATTACCGCGAAAATTTCCGTAAATTACCAAAATATTAATTTTTAATTGTGATTTATGCTTTACATATTTTTATGAATTTTAGACAAAATTTCTATAAATTACCGCATAAATTTGCATAAATTACCTCGAAAATTTCCGTAAATTACCTCGAAAATTTCCGTAAATTACCGAAATCAATATTTTTAATTGTCGTTCGCGCTACCTATAGGTATATATTTTTGTGAATTACCCCAAAAATTCCCATAAACATTTTAAATCAAATTTCAACTATTTTATAGAATTCAACAAGCAAAGAATTTTTTTTTAATTTGTTTAAAAAAATTATACAAAATTTTTCCGGCCCACCATGGATATTTATTTCTTGACACTTTATCATCAAAAATATGTATTGATATTTATCATTTCGATAAAAAAATATTTTTAAAGTTTCAGACACCAAATCGTGCGCTACGCGGAGAATCACACATATGCCAAAAACTATCCTAATTTGCATAGAAAAATTTATTTATTTTTTTTAAATCGTTGATCATAAACGTTGTGAACTTCATCGACGTCATTTTTACTTAAAAACTGTTATTTTTTTATTATTAGAAATTTTTTTCACATGTTATTTTTCTATTAAAAATATAAATATTTCGTGATACTTGTAATATTAAATTTATCGTTTAAATATTTATTAAGAAATAAATTAATTAAAAATAAACTTTTGAAAAATGTTACGCAAGTAAAATTAAAATGAAATAAAAAAAAATTGTATTTCAATAAAAAAAGTCAGATTTTTAAATTTATTGTTTAATCCTAATTTTTATCAGCCCTGTTCGCTATTTAATTTAAAAAAGAAAATTATTTTAATATCGAACCTGAATGTTCAGTTGCTTAGTAATTGCTAAAATTTCTTTTATTGGCACTTGTTTTCCATTGATAAACCAAGTTGTTGTATTGTGCGAAGTAAATTTTCGCGTAATAAGAAGTGTTTTGTTTTCAGATTCAAACAATTCAATTTCAATTTTTGCCTCCTGACATCCTGCTTTCACGTAGTCTGCAATTTTTTCAGCTCGACCAATAACTTTTGGTTTTCCAGCTAAACCCAAAACTATGGCACAAACAATTGTCGATTTTCCAGTACCATTGGGACCAATTATCAAATTTAAATTTCTCCCTGGTATGAAAACTGCCTTGTCATATGTGCTTTAATAAAATTAAACAATAAAACACATTATATTTTCATTTTTTTTTTAAATAAAAGTGAAACTTTTAGGAAATGATTATGTAATTTTTTTGATGAAAAATAAATTTGACTTTTTTTCGGTGAAAGATGTGAATTTTTTTTTTTTTTTATTTTTGATTGTAATTTTATTGGGTTAAAATTTTTTTTTTTTAATGCATATTTTCAATTGAAAAGACGTTAAAAATGCTATCGCAGATGATATTGAAAAAAATTTTATTATTTGGATAATTCTATCATCACTTGTTTTTAAATATTATGTACATTTAAATATCACATTTTTATTGGTTAAACGAATGGAAATAGATGTGAATTTTGTAGTAAAGACTGACTATTTTTAAAATATTTAGAAACGTCATAAACGTTAGTTTAAATTGTATAGATTCTATATTTCAAATTGCAGAATCGCATCTTTAATAGTTTAAAAATTATTTAATCTATAAGAATTAGCGAAGTTTAGAATTTTCTCTTTTAAAATTGCTAATAACAAAAGTAATTTGATTTTATCAAATAAGAGAAATATTTATTTAAAAATTTGCTTTGATTGTCAATTGTTTAAAACGGGGGGTTGTTCCGATATGAAAATTTGTTTATTCTAACCTCAAAATGATTTTTTCGAAATGAAGCATAAAACAACAAAAATTTAATAAAACTGAAATTTCATACAAAAATAATTTTAAAAAATGTAAAAAAAACATAGTTTTATGATATACTTACACAAAATTTTCCATATAAACTCGAATAATGAGGCCTTTCTCAACGTTAGAATTTACCTCATCCATTGTTTCCATGGTGAAGCGAGACTATATATTTATAGGAAAATTATAATTATCACACAATTCTGTCACTATAATAAAAACTTATTAGAATGGTTTTATGTCTCAAAAGTTGACAAAAACATTTTTTGAGAAGGAATTAAAAAAACCGTTGTAAATAGGCTAGGTTGCGCCGGTTGCAGAGTTACGCATAATTTACGTCATAACAATTCGAGCTTTAGGGTGCTCGCACAATGAACAAGTCTGTATAGCGCTGTCCTTTTCTTCAGCTTCGTCGTAAATGCCTAACATGCATTTTTAAATATAAACAAAGGGCATTTAAACAAAAGAAAGTTAAAACGGTAGATTAAAAAGTTTGTCTGAAAATGTAGACATTTATTCACAATTTCGATTTATTCATAGGTATTAAGGGCAAGGTGTCTTCCATTGACAAGATAAATTTAAATTTTGTGAAAAACTCTTCAAAAATTACAATTTTATTTTAAAAAATGTTTTTTTAATATACCTTTACATGCTGATCGTTCTGTCCTTATCTAGAGCGTACAATAACGCATGAATTAGAAGAGGACAGAATGATTAGCATGAAAACTGTTAAAATCTTTAAAAAATATTGAAGTATTTATAGGGGAGAGTCGGGAGTTGTGTAACGGGTTTTGTTTTTCGATCAACAACTATTATATAAATTTTTTTTTTTACTATTCTATTACTTATATGGGTGATTCTACAAACGAACGACGAAAATGAAGAAAATATGGACACAACATTTTTTTTTTCATTTAAGGTCTGAAAAGTATTTTAACTTCAAGTTAATGACACTAAAAAAGATATCTGAAAGTGGCCAGACAAAATATTAAAAATTACAAAAGTTATGGTTGTTTATAAACAATGTATCCAGGAAATTAAGATCGTGTATAGAAAATTCACATTAACACAAAAAATAATTGATGGATTTATACAAAATTTATTACTCGGGGGTTTTCGGGGTCGCTGATTACGAATCCGAGGTCAGTTTTTCAAAATTCAAAATGGCGGACAAATATTTAAACTCATACTTACTTCAGACGAATATATTAAATTTTTTCAAAAGTTTTCCGCCATATTGGATCCGCCAATTTGAATTTTGATAAACTGACGTCGGATTCGTAATCAGCGACCCCCCCGAAAACCCCCAAGTAAAGAATTTTACAAGGATCAATAAAAGGTATCGGTTTAATTAGTAATTTGTTTACATAATTTGTTTATAACAAATTACGTGTGTTCTATTAGAACATAATTTTACAAATCACAAATCTGTAGGAGTACTTTAAGTGTCTAATAATGAAAAATATTTCGATTTTGTTGTGATATTCATACGATTCACGCAGGAAAAAGGTACTTTTTATTTGTTTATTTATATCAATATAATTATATATACAAAATGAAAATTAAAGATTGGGGTTTAGCAATATCTTAAAAATTTAGTGAGGATTATTTTAAGTTAAGAAAATCGAAAATTGTTAAAAAATTATTAGTTTTACGCTTTTTTTAGTGGTTAATGTATATCCTGTCTCAAAAGTGCCAGACGAATGAGAATTTGGCAGTTTTTTTTAAAAAAAAAAGGTAGAAACAACATTAAATAAAAAAATAAGCAATTCTATCCGATAGAGAATTCAAATTTGCAATACATAAGCCTATAAAAGGACCTAAAAATAATATTTTTTTCCAAAAAATTGATGCCAGACGAATGAGAATTTGTCTGGTCACAATGCAATCTTGGTCACAAATTGAGAAATCTTGGTTAATAGAATAACAAATTAAATAAAACGCGCGTGGTATCACATTAAATTTAGTTTAATTAACAACAAGAACGAACTGTAACTTTATTAGAATGTTGATTTTTAATAATTTTAACGTGTTTTCAACTGCCAGACGAATGATAACAAAATCTAGGGACAAAATTCGAGAATATATTTTATAAATAAGGTATAGAGTAATGTCATAATTATTCCCACTATAATAATCTACAACTATACAAAATTACAAATCCAGTATGAATTTTCCGCTAAACACTTGAAAAATAATATTTTTTCACAATATGAACTGTCAATTACACTTTGGGACATGCCAGACGAATGAGAATTTATCACTTTGATGTGTATTTTTTGCAAGAAATATTTTTTTTCATCGGCTGCTTTTTAGTGCCACAATAGAAACCATTTAGATTTACAATTTTCATAAAAGAAAAAATTATTTTTTTCAAAATTAATATACAAAATAAGCTTGACCGCTCATAATTCCCTCGTTTGTAGAATCACCCATATAAAACTTTTAGTGTACAAATACAACTTTTGGCATGATCAATTAATTAAAATTCAAAAGGGAAATAGAAATTTTGCTTGTTTTATGACTTAAAAAAAAACGTGCGGGGAGTTGAAAATAATTGATGAAAAAAACATATATTTTTTATAAAAACATTTTTTATTTAAATTATAAAATGTAAAAAAGTAAAATAATTTATTACATGCATATAACAAAGAGCAGTCTTAATAAATTGACAATAAGTATTTGACGTTTTTCACAGTTTTTTTGTCAATTAAAATTATATATTGCACTATTTATAACATCAAGGAAGCACAGACGTTTGAATTAAAATTATTTAATTAAAATCTATTAATCAGATATATAAAAACGATTTTCATGTAAACTTTTTTTTTTTTTTTTTTTTGATTAATTTAACCCACAAATACCATAATATTGCAGGCAAGTATAATCATTTTTTAAAAAACATTAATTAAATTTCTAAAAATACTTAATTGATTTGGCGATTTGTTTAAAAAAATAAAATAATAATGAAAAAAAAAATAGATTCACATTGGAGGTCCAAAAATATTATTCAGCTGTTGTCTGCATCGAATGAAAGTGGCTTGCCGAGGTAATTCTTTTAGTTTTTCGGCTCCCACGTAACTGCATGCTGAACGTAAACCTCCCATAATATCCAATAATGTATTTTTAATCGGTCCTTTATAAGGAATCTCCACTGTTTTTCCTTCCGGTGCCCTAAAATTTAATAATAATTAGAATGAAAAATTTCCAGTATATAAATGAAAAATTTCTTCAATATTAATTCTACCTTTTAAAATTTAGCTAAATAAAAATGTAGATATAAATAAAAATTCCGTTACGTAGAAATTCGATTATACTTTTTTAAAAAAATACAATTAGGATAAATCCATTAAAAATCATTTACGAATTGTTGATGATGTATTTTTAAAAAATCTAGTTTTAATATATAAGGCATTCTCTATACCAAAAAATATTTTTTAACACTATTTTTCTCGAAATTAACCCTTATTTTTCTTTTTTAGTTGCTTTAAAAATTTATTTTTATTTGAAAATTGATATTTTTTCCAACAGAACTTTATATAATGTTAAATTTCTTTCAAACTGTTTTTATTATAAATTTGTTAATGATGTTTAGAGGCCTTTTACAGTTAAGATGTTTATTTATTGGTTGACATAACGTTGTTACTACATGTTTCGGCTATTTAGCCCTCATCAGGTAAGTCAATGCACTTTTCAAATAAGTATAAGTATACAAGACAAACAAAAGACAAACATAAGACAAACACGTAAGTAAAACAAAATCTGTAATAAATAGAAAGATTTCGATTGTTATTTATTAAATTAGAATGTTAAATTATTAAAATTAAAAGAATGAAAGACTTACCACGTGTTCGATCACATTATTTTAATCTATTAATTTGATTAATTTATTTAATTTAAAAAATTAAAAATTCAAATTTAAGAATCCATGGTAAATAATGAATTTTTAATTTTTTAAATTAAATAAATTAATCAAATTAATAGATTAAAATAATGTGATCGAACACGTGGTAAGTCTTTCATTCTTTTAATTTTAATAATTTAACATTCTAATTTAATAAATAACAATCGAAATCTTTTTATTTATTACAGATTTTGTTTTACTTACGTGTTTGTCTTATGTTTGTTATACGGGGTCATCCATAAAGCATGTGATACATTTTTTCAGAATTTTAACACCCCCCCTGCCCCTTGTGATGCTTTTTGCAATACCGATTAATATGGAGTGTGATATTTTGCTGACCCCTCCCCCCTACCCCCTAAAGTATCACATGCTTTATGGATGACCCCATACTTATACTTATTTTAAAAGTACATTGACTTACCTGATGAGGGCTAAATAGCCGAAACATGTAGTAACAACGTTATGTCAACCAATAAATAAACATCTTAACTGTAAAAAACCTCTAAACATCATTAACAGAACTTTATATATTTTACATAAAAATGAGACAATATTGCGGGTTTTTCAAAAGAATATTTTCTATTTTTCTTGCCCTGTTTTTCATATTTTCAAATAATTGATTTCCAATAAAATAAAAGGAAAATGTTTTAAAGGGATACAAAATTAGGTTTTTTATTTTACCTATACCCAGCAACACCTCCGTCGTGTTTATTCATTGATGTACTTGATGACGAACCATAGAAAATTTTCATTTTTTGACCATTTTTTTCTATTATTTCACCGCAAGATTCATCATATCCAGCGAACATACCACCAAGCATAACAAAATCTGCTCCGGCACCAAAAGCTTTTGCTATGTCACCAGGACATACACAGCCTCCATCCTTAAAATATTCATTAATATTTTAATTTTCATTAATAAACTCAAAATGTTAATCTGGACCTCAATTTATTCAAATTTTAATCAATTATAATTTTTATTGATAAAAATTTATATTAGGGTAAGTCCGGGGGAGTTGGCCATGCGGGAGAGATGGCCAATTCAAATATTTTATAGAATTTGCTGCTATGTATCGCTTATTAAAGATTAGTTCGCTTTGTTTTGTGGCAAAACACAATTAAAAGAAAAAACTTTACGAATAATATTGAAAAAGTATGTATGTAACAAAGTATGTATGTATGTATTTACATTTATTAAAAAATTTTATTTACTTATTTGTGTCAATTTGTCTCCTGACATTAGGAGAGATGGCCATGTTTTTTCGAGGTGAGATGGCCATACTGTTTAAGTTATTGGTACCCTTGAGATTCGTGTGTTCGCTAAAAAAACATTCATTCTGTGGCAAATGACATTTTTTATGACATATATTACAACAAGAAACTCCAACAAAGATTTTCAAATTTAAATATGATCAAACGAGGGGGAATTTACTCAGGTAGTCAAGTGTACACTCTTCCTGTAATACTTGTGTAATAACGTGTAATACCGTGTAATAATGCGTTATTACGGTGCTGTAATAACGCAAAAAACTCTGTAATATCTCTGTAATAATGTGTAATACTCTGTAATAACGTGTAATAACTTAGTAATAATGGTAACATTAGGTGTAATACCGGTAGTCAAGTGTACACGTTTTTAACTAGTAAATTCCCCCTCGTGATTAAATAAAATAATCACTATTGTGTAATTAAATCTTAAAAACGTTTATAAACAATCATAACACAGGTCTACAAAATAAGATTTATATATATATATATAATATATATATATACAGTAAGAAAAGTTCCATGGTAGTCACAGCCCATGAAGAAAAAAGTCTCGGGGGTCATTATGCCAAAATGAATACATTACAAGATAATTGAGTCAGAAATTCTGATTTTTGTGTAAAAAAATATAAATAATATGTATATAGAGTGGTTTTTTTCTAAATTGATATTTTTTTCACTTGTATCATATTTTCTGAGTCTATTATGATGAGAATGTGTCTATTTTATGGACTGATTTTTTTCAACCCATTAATAAAATTTAATTTTTCATAAAAAATGTCTTTTTTGGCGTTTTTTAGGTGTTTTTCGACAATTAAACCACTGTAACTTTTACAATTTTAATTTAATCAAAAAATTTTATTTAAAAAAAATGTTTTCTTTTTCCTGGACTGTAATGTTGTGTAGTGAAAAAAAATTTTTTTAAAAAAAAATTAAATTTCAAAATTTTGAAAATCCCGCAGTTTTTGCATTTTTTGATGAAAATGGCTGGCTAACGAACTTAACCTGTATTTTGATACTAACTTTGTGTATGCAAAATTGCAAAACGATTTGTTTCGATTTACAAAAGTTATTGTGTCAACAACATTTTGTGTCTACATACGTACATACATACATACATACAGACACACAGACAGACACTTTCGCCGGACCATGTTTTTTCGACTCAGGGCACCTCAAAACGTAAAGATTTCATGGAAATAGTAAAAGTCAATTTTCGACCAATTATAATACCTTCTCATGTGATGAGAATGTAAAAATTTTATGTAAAAGGTTAATTAAAAGACTTGAAGTTAACTAACCAAATTCAAACTGCTCCATTTTTTATAAAAATATATTAAAATGTAGCGATTTGAAATTGGTCAGTTAACTTCAAGTCTTTTAATTAACCTTTTTAAATAAAAATTTTTAAAATTAATATCTCCAAAACGAAGCAAAACACCTTCGTAAGATTTTAAAAGAAGGTAAAGAATATTATAAAAAATCTTTGTGCAAACCCTCAATTTTTTCGGAGCACCGACAAAAAAGTTATAAGTAAATAAAAATCTTGAGAATATTTAAATAAAATTTTTTTTAAAATCGTATATCATCCAAAAATAATAAATTTTTGCAATAATTCTTTCGTTCCTCTGTGCAGAATAAAGTGATTTATGTTTTTGGTGAGTTCCAATATCTAATTTTTAATAGTTTTTTAATAATAGCGTTTTTAAAAAAATTGAAAAATTTAAGGTTACAAAATCACATTGTGAACCTCCTACTTTTGATATTTAATATTTTTAAAGGGAATATAATTTTTACCATAATATTATGGTTAATGAACTCAGGGAATCATCGAGTTTCACATATATTAAAACTAAATTTTTTTAAAAATTTGGTCGCAACCATTATTAGACGAAAGTCAGTGGAATAACCCAGAAGGAATGAGCAAACAACAAAATAAAATGACAAAAATTGTTCATTACAATGTAATTCAAAAGTTTCAAGCATTATTTAGCGTTATTGTTATTTTTATTATGTTTGTTTAACGTGTTTTTGTTTACGACGCCGTTTGTCATGGTTGGGCCACCCACCAATTTTGTAATATTATCATACGTCCCGACATCGAAAATTCAATTTTTTATATAAAAAAAAGAGTCAAAGATGCCATTACCATTAAAAAAAATTGGTCTTAATAAATTTTGGTACTATTTTTTAACTTTTTAGACCAATTTCGCGAATAATCGGATTTTGGTTTAGGCGGTTAATTTTATTTTATCATTTTCAGCTCAATTTAAGCATTTTTCTGCCATTTGCGGGTCCTTTTTGGTCAATTTCCTTCATTTCATATTGATTTACTACAGTGGCCCAAGCATCAAGCCCTGGCCCAACCTACACGAAAAAACTTTTTTTTTTAAATGCCTGTAACTTTTACACTTTTGACCCAATCATTTTCTGATGTTCAGAAGAAACATTCCACTTTAGTGTAGCTTTCCAACCATATACGAGAGAATTTAAAATTTACCCTAAAACGAAAGTTATGGGCACAAGTCAAAAACTGGTCCAACCATGCTAACTCTCCCCTACCTAATTTATAAAAATATTTTATTTTTATTGTCAATACGTACCAATTGTTCTTTGAGGTGTTTTTTCTAGTAGTTGACTTAATTTATAAAAGTAAGGTTTCTCAAGTACAACTATTTCTTCTGATTCATCAATAAAAACATCAGTATTATTGTAAAAGGCTTGAATTATTTCAAGCCAATTAATCTAAGAACAATAAATATAAACTTAAATTATTAACAAAAAAAATAATAATCATAGTAGAATGATACCAATTTTAATACAAAATTAAAGAGTTAAATAAATTTTTGTTTGAGCTAAATATTCCTAATAACAAGAAATAACATTTTTTTACCTTTGATATCGTGCTTTCATTATTATTGTTATGATTATAAAAATTCTGAAAATCGCTAATTCGCATTATTTCATATCCAAATTCTCTTCTTTTATTTAGAGTTAATTTAATCTAATAAGAATAAATTGATTAATAATACACTTTTCATTTCTTCAAATATAATTTGAAATTAATGCGATTATTACCTTCTCCAAGGATTTAATAAACTCAAACAAATTCCTACTGTCAATTTCGATTTCTTTTTCGTCCCTCATTCCTTCGGATTCTGAATATTTAGAAATTGCTTTGTTTAGAAAATTTTGAAATTTTGTAATATCATCATTATCATCGTTATTTCCATGACTGTATGAAATATATTGATTATAATAATGACTACTTTCCATATCATTCAAAAAATTAGTGTCAGGCAGAAACTTATTTTCTTGAGTAATCTGCAATATTATAAAATTTGTAATGTACATTTTATTATCGTAAAATTGGCATTTTGCTGTTTCATACTCTCTAAAACTGAATTAGTGAAAATTTCACTGATTTTAATTAAGTGATTTACTTTTCATAATTTCAATCAGTGACTTTTACTAAATTTGACCAACTCAGCTCAATATGTATTTATATTTATTATTGTAAAAGATTAATTGCTTCTTACCCCAATCATTTTAAGTGTGGAATTTTTTGGATTATGTGAAGTACCTATAGTAAATAAACCGTATGCTCTTATAGTATCGACATAATGAAAAACAACATCTTGCCAAGTGATTTCTTTTTTTTCCCATTCAGTTGTATTCATAACCATTGGCCAACCACCAATCTTGTCTATAATTTTCTTCAACGGTTCCAATCCTTTTTTCTTAATTCTATCTAAAATTATTCATAATATATTTTTTAATTTCAAGTTTTCATTAAATATTATTGTTATTTCATTGAAAATAAAAATTATTTGATTTAACAACAATCGGCTATATTTATTATCAAAGCAGATATTTTCTGTAATGAATAATTATTATCGTTTTGAAGGTGTCTGAGTTAAATAATAAGTATTTGATTGAAATACAAAAAAAATTATTGATTAAAATTAATTTTATTTGTTTTAATTAAAAATTACCTACTTCCAATTAAATGGTGTTTAGAAAAAAAATGTTCTTGAAAATACATAACGAATCAGGTATATAAACTTATTTAAATTAAATATAATTTTTGTTTTCAGTGTACGGAAAAAAATATTTGGCATTGACAGCAAAACAGTTTGCTGCATTGATTTGAGAAACAAAAATTTTGTTCAGTCATCTTAAAACTTTTGTGTTTTATGAACAAAATGTTTTGTTGTCAAAGAAGAATTTTCTTATCACTGAAAATTGTTGAACATGAATTAGACTCATAAAAAAATTAGTAAATTTTATAAATGATAAGAAGGAAAAATTAATTAATATTGGAACAACTAAAGTTTTTCATCATTAGGTATACAAATTTAAATATTGAAATTTCATAAAATAATTACCTTCATCCATACAAGAATTGTACCATTTATTCTCGAAAATTAATGGCTCAATATCCTCAGGACTTAGTTGCTTTTCTATAATTTCTGAAAAAATACCATAATGAAGAGTAAAAAAATATAAATTTCCTTATACAGAAAAAACCGAGGGGGAATTTACTAGTTAAAAACGTGTACACTTGACTACCGATAATACACCTCATATTACTCTTATTACTAAGCATTACACGTTATTACAGAGTATTACACATTATTACAGAGATATTACAGACTTTTTTGCGTTATTACAGCACCGTAATAACGAATTATTACACGATATTACACAAGTATTACAGAAAGAGTGTACACTTGACTACCTGAGTAAATTCCCCCTCGGAAAAAACATAATTTCAAATTGAGTACAAAATTTACACTCAATTTGATTTTGATAATCGAGAATTTTTATTTTTAAAACTGACTGTATAAAACTTAAATAATTTTCTCCTTTTCCCTAAATTGAAACGGGTACTATATTAAATTTTTAAATAAAAAATCTCTGTATATAGCGCCATTGCCCCTCTCTATCCTACCTTTTAGAATAAATTTTCTCTCCTCTGTACTTATTTTTAATAAATTCCAGTTTTGTTTGCCTTTAGGAACCGGATAATTAGATTGCCATGAACCACATACGTATAGGAATAAAAATCATCGCAAGGATTTACGCTTTCATTCATTCCCTTTTTAATTAATTCCGCTGTAAAACACAATATTATTGTTAAACACATTTTCAATAATTGTGTGCGTAGTTTAAAAATTAAAGGAAAAGTGCGATTCCAAGTGAGATTTTGACTTTTTCGGAGTAGGTTAACCGATTGCAATGAAACTTTGGAATTTTGTTATATATAGTAAGACTAATCTTTAACGTAAATTTCAGCCTAAAATATTTGTTAGTTTACGAGATTTGCAATAATAACAAAAAATTTAAAACTGCTATATCTTCCGTTCTAATAAACGGATTGAGGTCTACTTTTTTTTAAAATGTCAAGGAAAATGAGAGGAATAAATCTCTTTCAGAACATTTTTTTATAATTTTACAACTAAAAAAATTATTAAATAATAATTGAATAACTTTCGCGCGACTATCTAAAATTCAATCACTTAAACGCTAAAATGATTTTACCTGTGTTTTCTTTAATGTTCCAAAGGATTTTTATTGTAAATGTAAGTTTAACTTAAGAAATTTTATTAATTTATTAGTATAAACAATTGAGATTTCTGCTAGTTGACGTTCAGACGACATTGCGCACGCAGCATTCTCACATAGCCAACTGACGTGATTCGTGGACTAAATTGGCTATGTGAGAATGCTGCGTGCGCAATGTCGTCTGCACGTCAACTAGCAGAAATCTCAATTGTTTATACTAATAAATTAATAAAATTTCTTAAGTTAAACTTACATTTACAATAAAAATCCTTTGGAACATTAAAGAAAACACAGGTAAAATCATTTTAGCGTTTAAGTGATTGAATTTTAGATAGTCGCGCGAAAGTTATTCAATTATTATTTAATAATTTTTTTAGTTGTAAAATTATAAAAATATGTTCTGAAAGAGATTTATTCCTCTCATTTTCCTTGACATGTTAAAAAAAAGTAGACCTCAATCCGTTTATTAGAATGGAAGATATAGCAGTTTTAAATTTTTTGTTATTATTGCAAATCTCGTAAACTAACAAATATTTTAAGCTGCAATTTACGTTAAAGATTAGTCTTACTATATATAACAAAATTCCAAAGTTTCATTGCAATCGGGTAACCTACTCCGAAAAAGTCAACATCTCACCTGGAATCGCACAAAATTTATGTTTTTGAAACATTATCAAAAATAATGTTCAATTAGGTATGTGACGGCTTTTTAGGTATATTGTTTTTGATATTTAGTGTATATTTAAATCATTATTTGAAGAAACTAATACGAAATTTTTTACTGCATTAAAAAGGTGTATGTCTCTTGCTAAAACAGTGTTTTTAATAGCATTTCTATATTAAAATAAGGTAAAACTACCAATTATTATGATTCAGAAATAAAATCATTATTTATTTATTTTAATTATACAGCACATAAATAAACAATGACAAATAATTAAAAGTTGAAAATATTCAACTGAATCTAACATCACTGAAAATTAAAAGGCATTAAAATAAGCTGCAACGCTTATTATTTTAATCCAATTTTGCTTATTTTAATCCATTTTGGTATTAAAATAAAGCAAAATTGGATTAAAATAATAAGCGTTGCAGCTTATTTTAATGCCTTTTATACCCTTCAAATTTTGATTGGACACAAATATAAGCTTTTTATGCTTAAGTATTTTATATACATTCGTACAAAAAATTACTGGATTTATGGGACAAAGGTGCATCATAAAATTCATGTCTCATATTTGGTACAAATTTGTTATTTACAATTTTATCAATAATTTGTTATTTTAATATAAAAATGCTATTAAAAACACTTTTTTAACAACTAAAGACGTACACCTTTTTAATGCAGCAAAAAATTTCGTATTATTTTCTTAAGTTAATGGTTCAAATACAATAAATCTCAAAACCTATCTGAAAAGTTGTTCCATAATTGGTACTTTTACCAAATATTTGTTTTAATTTTCCAATATGAATAATAATAAACTTACCTAATGAGTGGCATTCCTTAGTTTCACAAACTTCCGAAATATTATTTTCAACATCACTTCCGAAAACAAGTGTTTTGTCTTCATTTATTATTAATAAAATTATTAAGTGGACGGCAAAAATTCTAGAACAATAAAATTTAATTTGACAATTAAATTTAATTATTTTTATATTTTAAAAATATAGAAAATGTTAAAATATAAATAATTATAAATCATGAATTTAAGCGGAGGGATAGATGAAATTTCAACACATTGAAATTAATGTTGTTAAGAGGTGACAATTTTTATCTGGCATTATTTGGGATCTAAAATTATTGTGAATTATTAAAATTGTTAATAAATTTTTTGTTGACATTTTAGAAATTTTATTTTTTGAAAATATTAAAATTTTTAAAAATCCATACGATTGATTGTTCAGAAACATGAAAAAAGTATATATAAAAAAAATATATTTACAAAATTCGTCTGGATGATTAATGTATTTTATAATTAATTTATATTATATTATTTTATATTATTTTATAATTAGAATGAAATGTTTCATTATACTCACAAGTAATAAATATTGAACATGTTCCATAAATGAATAAAGTATGAGAAAAAATAATTAAACATTGCCCTAATGTACTTTCATAGAGCGGTTCAATTCAACAATATACTCATCGCGTTTTTACTAGAATCGAGTCATATATATATGCCTTAGATTACCCAACATCTCACTAGCACTATATTTAATTTAAACTAAAAATTTTTATAAAGAGTAAACATGACATATATTTGATGTAAATTATTATTTATTTTTTTTTATTCCACTCTTTTCAAGTGTAATAAAATTGTTACTAATAATAGTTCTCAAATAAAATATGTATATGAAATATTTCACATGAAAACTAAGATTGATGTCATGGAATTTTTAAAATTTCTGTTAATTAATAGTGATTTGTGTACTTATAACAAAATTTTGTCTATTTTATTGTTTGGATTGATAGGATTCAGTTTAATGTAGAGACATGAGAGTAACTTAAAATTTATATAAAGAAATAAATTTTTAATATTTTTGAACGTATCGGTAATCATGTTTGTATTAAAGAATTTTAATATATTTTTTTTTAATATATTAAAATTTTAAAAATTAAAAAAATAAAAAATTTAAAAATTTAAAGTTTAAAGTTTATTTGAAAAAAATGTTATTTTGTACAAATCAATTTATATTTGGAAATAAAATTTTACTTGTTGGTAAATAAAATTTATTTGAAAGAATAAAGTATATTTTAATTAATTCTGACAACAATTTTATTTTTTTTCTCTAAGTCGTAGGTACGCATTGTTGTCCAGTTTATAAATTAATTAACTGTGACATGTTTCAGAAAAACTTTATTAAATAATATATGAGAGAATGTAATCTCTGCGGGGATAAAATAAATTGCAAAATAAAAAAAAATAAGTGGGGTGCGGAAAGATTTTGAGGGTGGATTATTTACTGGACATAGAAGAGACTTGAAAGAGAAATTGCATGAAAGAGGATGGTCCTGGGATGACATTCTCCTCGACATATAACATATGTGGATGACCAAAATAATTTATATATATATATATATATATATAAGGTAAGCAAAATGTACCGGAATTAATTGAACTAAATAATAAAACAATATAATATATAATAATTTTTTTTTTCCTGTAGAAAATTTCAGTAAAATTGTACGAAAAATTTATTCTTTCCCTCTTTTTCTTAAAAAAATCTGTAGGTACACAGCTTGGTACACAGAAAATTAAAAGGCATTAAAATAAGCTGCAACGCTTATTATTTTAATCCAATTCTGCTTATTTTAATCCATTTTAGTATTAAAATAAGCAAAATTGGATTAAAATAATAAGCGTTGCAGCTTATTTTAATGCCTTTTAATTTTCTGTGTAGGTATATACAGAGGTATAGATAAGAAATTGATTAAATTTCTAAAAATAATAATTTAAAATTTTATTTGTTTTATATAAGAATCATTCTACGGCGCATAGTGAATTGTTCTTTAATAATAATAATAATAATAATGAATAAACAAAAACTTCTTTTTCTTTTTTTGCTTCTATCATAAAGAATGAAGAGCCCATACGAGAAATCTGCACGTACAAATGCGTGGGCGAATATACATATATATTTCCGCGCCGTTATTCATTTCTCAATATATATTTTCGAAGTCTTCTATTTATTATTTCGGTCTTAAAAGTAATAAAGATGCATTGAATGAAGCGGTAAATTGAAGATGAAAATGGCTTGGAAACGAAATTTAAACTGTTTTAATATAAAATGCGACCTCTTTTTTTCTACTTTATTATACCTATTTATATGAAATCATGCATATATATATATATATATATATATATATATTACATATCTTCCCGACTATTTTTGTTTTAAT